ACACATAAAGAATTTACGTCATGACAAATGCTTTAAGTCTTGTGTTGACAGCTATGAAAGTGACTTCCATCGGCAAATGACGCTTGGAGGATGGCACGCTTATGTGCGCATATCAGGATTGGACTTTCCCAGAGGTCGGTTCAAGAGTCACCGTGTGAAGGGAGAAAGCTTGGCCTCAGAACTGTCTCTTGTCCAACTACTGCGCCGCATTGCTGGTTCGTCACCAAATACGACGATACCATTTACCAAAAATCGATACCAAGAGATTGCTGGCATGTAGCGTTGGAAATTGGTTAACTGAAATATTGTTGATGATTTTTATTTTCAGATGACTCATAATCGGCCACGAAGGGGTTTCTTTATTCTTTACCCAGAGCGATAATTTTCATCCCTATCGGAACGTCTTCACGAAATCAAATTTCAGTCAGGAAAATTGCGATCGTCATAAATCTATATCTCGTTTCGACAAACCCAAAAAGGATACATTAGACTTTAGATTGGCAGATCAGTCACAAAACTATAGCACGTCCTATAACCTCACGGTTAATCTCGTTGAACCCCATAACATTAATTTAACAACCAACACGGGTGAAACAGCATCTTGTTGCTGTTCAATTTCCATCGCAAAATGGCATCCAAACAAACGTTAAGCATATTGTCTGTGGTTAGGGGTTCTTTAAGGTGGTTATAAGGTCGATGAATCTAAAGTTCTCTAGATGCACACGGGAACATCAAGTACACACGAAAAGAACTGCTTCTTCGTGGTAGATTAAATTTACAAATTAGCGTCATAGCTACAACGTGCATTATGTACTTTACACTAATTGTCGCTCGCTAGCCACGCATTTAACCACACGTCTGTACCATCCACCAGATTTCTTCCATACAGTGTTGCACAAATGCACTTTACAGTAATAGATGCTAGCCTCGCAGAACCACACTTGGGTGGTCACTGATGATGGTTACCGTCCGCGGTCATGGATTCTACTCCTCGGGTAATTAAACTGCGTCGGTACCGGTGACGTAATTACCGGAAACGAACCAAGCGCCGGATACGGAACTAATTTCTGGTCAACTAAAATCAGTTCTTGTTATTTTATTGTATAGGCCTACTTGGTCTTCAGCTGGATTTGTTTACGGTTTAAGATGCATTTGTGTCGTAGTCCGATGTCCGATCTAAGTGTCAGAACATAGCATATTTGAATATTGCATGTGGAGTGCATATAACGGAGCTGTTGCACATCTAACTTCGATAGATTTTATAATTAACTCACTTAGACAAACCAGAGTGGGTAGGGCGTGAATTTTAGTTGCAACTGACACCGAAGACAAAATAGTACTATTATGTGTTAATACTAAAAATGTCTGAGACGCTGAATAGAAGATAGAAGATGTAGAGCTTGCCTTAAAATCTTAAGGTTGCTGGTTCGTACTCGAACTCGAACAGAATGAATGTCAATTCTTGACCCAAATGCCATTGATCATTGGGAGTCAGTATTAACGATGCCACCTAAAACGTTGAACTAAAGTGATTCAACTAAGGGCTTCGCATTCCCAGCATCAGATTGATTTATATTATTCTTTTTAACAGATTAAGTGATGCTGTCCAACTCTCTTAACAATAAATTTAACATCTGGTCCTTCAGTTGAATCTTTAACCACAGTCAGATTATTAACAGCAGTCGAAATAGAAGTACACCTTGTTTTTTAACCTTTAACCTTGATTTCAATGGTTCGTACTCGAACTCGAACAGAATGAATGTCAATTCTTGACCCAAATGCCATTGATCATTGGGAGTCAGTATTAACGATGCCACCTAACAAAACGTTGAACTAAAGTGATTCAACTAAGGGCTTCGCATTCCCAGCATCAGATTGATTTATATTATTCTTTTTAACAGATTAAGTGATGCTGTCCAACTCTCTTAACAATAAATTTAACATCTGGTCCTTCAGTTGAATCTTTAACCACAGTCAGATTATTAACAGCAGTCGAAATAGACTAGTTTAATAAAAGAACATAGATTTTAAGTAGACTACTCTCATTGATAGTTGTTATCTAATTGAGGTAGGTACATCACTCTTTATAGTATAAATCTACAATCAACAAATATATTTTTTTATAAATTTGCAGGTTATTTATTCACCTAAAAAATAATCTCTGAAAGGTAAAATAATATTGTAATATTCGAAATCGAGTCTCGATCCCTATTAAACTATAAACATGTACAATGTGTGCAAGGGCCCTCTCGTAAATAAATGTTTATAACGCTATCATCACATCGAAGTTTTTGTTTTACTTTCGGTACCATGCCGCTACGCAGTCGTCTTCATCACAACAGTGGTTGACAGACGGAACGCCGGGCCAGAAACAGGTGTGAGATAATGGCGGTTAGATACCGGAACGTCGGATATGGAGCGGAAACTCGTCCTACAACCTACATATTGTTTACATACACCGAGACAACTTGTACTGTGACAATTTGTAGATGTGATCGCGTTGTAAAATCAGGATGTATTTGCGTAGGTTACATCCGGTAATGTTGGAGTGAGCTGATGTACCTAGCTTTCAGTTTTTCTATTATTTTAGGGTAAATTTAAGATTGTAATACCAGAGGTGAAGGGGTGGTGTATGAATGGATGGTAGTATTTGGTCAGGGGCGTGGTTTTAAAATGGTTGGATGAAACAAAATAATTATCAAACATAAAAACATAAACATGCATACACAGCCAGAAACAAACCGTTAAATTAGTTTTGGATGTTCCATAAAGATATTTAATGTTTTGAATGTATGAGCATTAAAAAATTAATGAATACTATATTATGGTTGAATACAATAAAAAAATATTGTTTGTGAGATACAGCAAGTAAATAGAACATACAATGCTGGTTTTGCACACGTTAATCAGCGATTGTGCAGCGTGGGGATTTATGAATGGTTTTACATAAAATAAATAAGTCACATTTCCTTTCAAATGTATCGCAAAAAACATACAGATACATGACTTGTCTGATAGCTCATACGGGTTATCTGCAATCAAGTTAGTGCAACATTATACCGCTGTCTAGCGTATACGTGTAATTTATTTAAATAATCAATTCCGATTCAGCTACATAAAATCGATTCACTCGGGCTGAAATCCCCATAATAAAGTCAAAATCTCCTCAAACGTTTTGTATTTTCCGGCTATGATTTTTGTACAACCGCCCTTTGGTGGCTTGAAAAGCAACTGAAATTTTCAAACTGAAGACACTGAAGTCCAGGACAAAAACTTTACTACAATCCCGTTACATTGGGGCATCGGTCATGGACTCGTTTAAAATTGGTTTTATAGGACAAAATTATCTTGTAATTTTACAACCCCCTTCGTTACACCATGTATCCGCCCCGACCATCCAAATCCGAGAACTACCGCGTCCGTGAGTCACAAGTTGGAGGTTCTCCACCTCTTGTACTTTCTCCCTGCGTCAGTATCCTAGATCTGCGTTCAGGATTTATTTTGAATCCGGCACAGGTCCGCACTTTCACTTCGGCGAAGGAATCGCACAAATTTGCAAATCAACATTGCAGTTTACCCGTGAGCATCATTACAGAAGAGGTGGATTTTCCAAGAAAATAAAATGAAAAACACATTATAAGTTAGGTTAATTTGGAGTTTTGTTTATTTAGTTTTTTAACCTTTTTGTGTTTTGTTGCTCTATTGGCTTGCTGAGTTTTTTATAATTTGACCAGCAATGAGCCTGAAGGGCGAATCTTGAATTCATTAAATACATTGTAAACTAAATTAGTTCAGATCCTACCAAATTACAGGTCATTGCTATATATTCCTTTTTCGTTTTACAATGAGTGCCAAAGACAAAGTAGCAATTATATACAGTGATAGATTATCGCAAGCTTTTGTAAATAAATAGGAAATCTTTATTCCAAACACAAAACTTGTGTGTATCACAAATAAACATCCACAAACCGCATAAACTAGAGACAACTCCTAGGACGCTAGATTCTACCATAGACAAGACACTGCACAGAAAACTGTAATCCTTAAAGTATAAACACTCATACTAATTGGCTTCAGGGATAATTTATGTAAATTCAGGGATTCCAGGAGGTATAAAAGTCATATAATCTAAAGAAAGTCAACAAGATTACAAAAACAATGTGTGTTAAATAAAGAAAAAGTGAAATTTAAAGCTTAAAAAACCCGATAATATCAATGTCTATAACAACTAACCGGCTATTTAATTTGAAGGAAACAGATTCAGTAATTAAACAAAATAATTTTAAAACGTATAATAATAAAATCAAATGAATATCATCATGAACTAGTCAGCATTATAAAATATCCAACAATTGAACAGTAGCTTTAACCAAACTATATAACAAGAGAAGCTTTAAAAAACAAATTAAATTTTGTTCTAAATAGTAATTATTGGTTATTGTTTTATTGAGTACTTTAAATATTATTTTTATTATATTTATAAATATGACTATTTTTTTATTTTGCAGCCCGTCGAAAGTATTTTAAAACGCTCGGCAGCGACGGAGCATATAAAACTAACTACTGTAGTCAATTTGTCAACCATAAAATATTTAGCACTCGAAAAGCTTAGCAACTTAATAATACCAACTAGGCCTATTCAATTTGTCAACCATAAAATATTTAGCATTCGAAAACTTAAACAAATTTTTTTAAACATCAAATCTTGCCGGTCTTGCTGGTACCGGTAGTGTAGTTGTGGCAAATTTGTGATATTTTATCTTCTTTGGTTAAGTCATAAAATGAAAGTCAATAATACAACAATTGACTATCTAAGTTCTGTTTCTTAAATACCTTAACTAGTTGTATTTTACTTAGTGGAGTAATTTTATCATAAAACTTTCAATAGATTACTAACCACGATATTTAAACCACTACTGTATTTTGCATTAATTGGTATCTCAAGTTACATTACACGTATTTAAAAGTTGAATATACGTAATCCCAAATTCTTAACATACCATGAATAAAAGGGGCACATATAATCCCAAGCAAGAAGCACAGCGTTGCTGAAAGCGGTAACATGGTGGTGCGCACACAACCGAACAGACCGCGGGTTTGCTTCGTACTGGCGGGGAAATGCGCGCTTGCGCGGTGCCCCGGGAGTTTTGCCCCTTCCACCTTGCGGAGCACTACGATACCCCCTCCCTCAGCACTAAGCACTAAAGTACTGCGCCGGCGTACTGCCTACTGACACATATCCTACCTGTAGTTTGCATGCGGCGTGCCGCACCGAGTTGTCCTTTTTGCGCGGCATTTTTGCGGCATGCCATCATCATCAGGGCGCATATCTTCATGCCTCGTTTCCGTTATGTGGTTTTGATTGTTCGATTCAATGTGACCTAAAGTATGACCTGTTTAATAAGTATGTGCATGTTTCGGTACTGTACTATCTTAAAACATGTTTGCTAATGGCTATTTACAGTAGGAACGTACACACTATTGAGATAAAATTCAATTCAATTCAATCATTTATTTTCACATAACGTCTACAAATCCAGCATAACTGGGAAACAGGTGAAATGGTCATATACCTAAAATACATAAAACTATAATAACTACAAAATCAAATAAATACACCACCTAAAAAATAATTCACTTTATAATACGCTCTGTCAACCAGCAATTTGCTTCTTTCTTGTATTTTTCAAACGATTCTAGTTTATTTTCAGGCAGTTTATTATACAATTTTTTCCCTAGATATTGTGGAAGGGTTTCAAGTGAGGTAAGTCTGTGAATGGGCAGTTGTAAATCGTTTCGGTGTCGTGTTACTTAAATAATTATGTGTATGGTTTTCATTCATAAAAGAACCAAGGTTTTTTTCAAGATTAATGTTTGCAGGATATAAACTGACGGAAGCGTTAATATTTTCAACTCTCTAAATAATAGTTTACAGAATCGTCTGGGTTTTGAAAATGTCATAATTCTAAGGATCCTTTTTTGAATTTTAAAAATGGTCACGTTTTAAACATTTTAATTCATTAAAAAACATTTGACAACAATAGGATATTAAACCTTGGGACAGTGCAATTTTCAAAATTTTGCAAACAAATTACATGTCTTAAGAATGACTGACAACATCAACTAGGTATGATTAATATGGTATCAATAAATCTACAGTTAATACTCATCGAAACTCAGTATAATTAAGTTAAGTATTGATTATATTTTACAATAAAGGCATTTTTCTAAATTGCCCCACTACAAAGGTTTATGTAGGTAGGCCTATTATATTTTATTTTGTCACATGTTTGGTTTCTAATAGATGTTATGAGACTACTTAATTGGGATATGATGATGCCGGATACGTTGCTACACACAATACTGTAGTTGGTGCGCTTTGCAAGAATACTGGAAGTAGTTTTTGAAAATTTCAAAATTCTACTCCTGCATTACAACATAAACCCAATGTAAGATGTATTTATGGGAGATTTCGTGGTATGTTGATTCTCATTATAACCTTTTAAGCACATTTCTTATGGTTGACTATTTCGAGTTAAATTATTAATACTATACGGATTATTAATAAATAACGCATTAATTAGACCACTACCTTCTTCAGTCAGTGTACTTATATACAATCAATGCATTATTTAAATAATAATTTAAAGCTATTACTAGGTTTCATGTAACACTTTTATAGCAAGTTTAATAATTCAATTACAATTTACACACACATTTCAACAAGAACTATCAATTACCCCCAAAATTCCCTTTATATATTTTCTAATGTATCGTGAAAATGTATATAGACTGTGTAGTGTACATTACAATCACCCATTCAACAAGACTAGGAACACTTGACTCATTGATTTTGATCACTCGGACAAACTCCACCTGTAGATAAAACAGGATGTTGGCCTCCAAAGAGTAATACTCGGCCAAGGCCGCCTCACCCGACATTACTCTGTGGACAAGGATGTTGGTCCGAGCGTTGACCTGTCTTCCTGTCAAGAAGAAAGTTACTCGTCACTAAGGCCTACCATACACGTTCCGTCCCGGACTGAAGGCCGAGCCTTGAGGCCGGAACTGCACAGTTTGGCCGGAGTCGTGATCTCCCCACACACGCTCAGTCCTGAACTGCACAGTTTGGCAGGAGTCGTCTTGCCTCCTCTTGGTCTAACAGGAAGTTAAGCTCACTGAAGTACCACTTTTGTGAAGATTTTACTTTTTAACTCTTTTCTAAATGCACTCCGTAAGTTGTTTATTTTTTCACCACAGTGTCCTTTGTTCTTTTTGTGTCAGATTTGTTCATAAATCTAATAACTCTTTATAAGCTGCTTCCCTCATGTACATGTTGTGGTATTATTTGCTTATTGAAGTAAAAAAGTCACGTGCACATGCAATAATGCTGAAAATGTGGTGGGAGGGGGGAAGCAGCACTGTCTTGGACTGCGGGATTCGCCATACACGTTCAAATCGGCCTCAAGGCCGGGCCTGGACGGACGTGATTCACATCCGGCCGTCCGGCCAACGATCTGCCTGAAGGAATCGACATACACGTTCAGTTTTTCCTTCAGTCCAGGACTGTACAGTCCGGGACTGAAGGAAAACCGGAACGTGTATGGTAGGCCTAAACAAGCATTGGGATCATTGGGATCTCCGCCCAGTGACGAGAACGCAGCTTCAAGTAGCTCCGGGTCTTAATACTCTTCTCACTTAAAACAAATGTATATTATCATATTACTTTGTTTTTAAAAACCTTTGTATTTGGACAGAGCTGATTTCATAAATGGGCCAATTGGGCCAGGACCATGCCAATGACTACTAAAACCTATGATCAGAAAGAAAGTCTATATTTCCCACTAAAAAAGGCAGCACTTCAGCACTTCTCGTCCACTAATTGTAGGAATCACTGTTGTACTATTCGTTGTCGTTGTGTGAACTAATATAATGATAGTAAATTCCAAAAATGGCAGCCATTCAAAGATATCTTGAATCTGCGATTTTGAATCTGAGGTATCTTACACTATTACAATATTACACTAGTAAATAGTTTTAATTTGATTTGCATTTAATTTTGACGTGCTTATCATCATCCTATGCTCACATTAAGGCCGGTTTTATGCACCGCGACAGTCGCGTGTCGCGGCGCGACTCAAGTTCTATTGAATCAAATGGGTATACTTTTATGCACCGCGACAGTCGCGACATGTGTTGCGGCTGACCGATCGGTCACGCGACAGCGACACTTTTTTGTCGCGTGAACTCACATCCGGTGGTGGGGGAATTAAAGAGCTCAGTGAGTTTTCTATCCAATGTAGAGTGTTGTTGTGATTTAGGAGTGATTATTAAGTGTTGTTTAAATATAGACCGTGTAGTGTTGTACACGTTAACGACAAAACCCCCATATAAACAAGATGTAAAACTTATAGCTGGAATTGGGTTATCCCTCTTAAAAATGCCATTACATAAGAAAATGGTGTAATTTATATTACAAATAAAGGATAAATGACTCATTTATATATTAACTATTAACATTAATCAATATAAATAATATGGAGAATTTCCCACGTGGAGTATGAAAAATACTACTGTCGCGGTGCATAAACGTACCCATTTGATCCAATAGAACTTGAACCGCGCGTGACACATTTTTGAAGCTGCGATTCTAAAAAATGTCGCGGGTTAGAGATCGCCGATTCACTCACGCGACAGTTTGTCGCTGTCGCGGTGCATATGCTCCCAACGTGGGGTGCATGCAATTGATAATTATACATTAGTTCAATATGTGAAGGTAATTGTAAATTATCTATTGCATGCACCCCACGTTTTTCGTTTTAAATCTTACAAGTATTTATACTGTCCACATATTTAAAAATTATTTTCTACTTTTTAGTGCGTTTAAAAACGTTTTGTTAAGAAAAATTTACAATTTATAAATTATTTGCTACTTTTTAGTTTTTAATGTGTGTTGATGTTAAATCTATTTCAAGCATCTATATCACATTAAGTCAGAGGCATGTGGGAAATCTAAAGGTTTGTATGAGTTTCTTTTCATATAGTTATGTATTAGCCTAGATTGAATGTATGGCCTACCTACTAACTATAAATATATCAATCTATTTAATTTATTGTTTACTTTACAGAATACTAAATAAAATTGCAATTGACATTATTAACAAGTACCTTTATATCTGCAATCAGATTGTTTATCTTTATTTTGAAACTAGCAAAATAGCCCGTTGTGGTTAAATACAACGGACTCTAGTAAAATAATGGTTATAAAATGTATACACCACTTTACTCACTAATATTAATGGTACAGATTAAGCACATGACATTAAGAATCACACACTTAATATAAAGAACACACTTTAAACAAATTATTAACAACAACATTTAATAGAAGAAAAATCAATTAAATAACAATATAACAATAAGCTGTTAAATTATTAACAGGTTTTGTATGATTAGATCATGCATATTGGTAAACCAATTAATTATTGTCACCTATAAAAATTATTGGGTTTTCTTTTCCGAGTTGGATTAGCCTTTTCTACCCGATCGATTTTCATAATTTTGGTCTTAAAATAAAGCTATGCAAGCACATATTTGTCATCTAGCATCATCATTAATTTATCTAATGCATTACTCGACGAAAATATATAAATGTGATTTTTAGATTGTTTACTTCAATTAAGATGTATTCCAGCAGTTCTAATTACATTACTCTATATGTTTTGATCTAAAAACCTTTTTAGTGAAATGCCAGCTTTCATTTGAGCTATTGATTATTAAGATCGGACTACCTAAAGCACACTGCTGAATCACGAATCATCAGTAATTATAATCGTTTTAGTACTTATCTGCAATCAATGATACGTAACTCTATTTTATTTAAGTTATTTTATACATCTTGGTCTTAAAATTCTTCAAGATATAAAGGCTTGCATTTGAGATATTGATAGTTTTAATCAGTTAAGTTCAAGTTACTGTATCCCTCAACCAGAAAACATAAATTTGAATATTTATTGGATATTGAATTTATTTTTAGATATATTTACTCAATTCTAATTACGTTATCCTATTTGTTTTGACCTAAGAACCTTCAGTG